GTCTCAGGTCAATTAATTAATTGATTTAATACTTCTGTCTGTCTGTCTGGCTGTCTTTCTGTTTGACTGACTGTCGGCCATCAGCTGGATGCTGGTGCACCATCAACAGCACTGACATTCTCTCACCCTTTGAAGTTGTCCTTCCATTTACTTCACTTGTCTAACTAACTAAACAGTTGCAATTAGCATTGGTTGCCCAGTCAAAGTTGAGTGGATGCTGGCCTTCTTTTTGAAACTTTTTCATTACTTCCCTTCTGTTGTTTCTGGTTCATATTCATTGTTTTTAGCATCTGGAAGGCTTCATTTCGTTGTCGTTTATACTGTGTGTTTATCTATCTGATTACTGTCCTCCTTATTTCAGCCTTTCCTGCCGGTAAACAACTGTCTTTTTTATCATTTGATGAACAACCTTTTATTTTCCTATTTTTTACCTCCAGCAACAGCAGTAAACAGACACTTTTAAGCGTGGTCCGCACTTTTGTTGTTGTTCTCTTCCACCAGTCTGACGCTGCATTGCTGTTAGTTATGGTGGTATTTTCATCCTTTCAAACCTTTTTAGCCGTTTGCTGCGGCTGCATCGTCGTCCTTTGATTTGCTTTGATCATTTAGCCACATTTGAGCGTTCCTTGCCCTCAAAGTAAACAAATGGATGGACGGCTGCATTGTGTTTGGTGTGACAGGCATCGACAGCACGACGACTACGCTGCTTCTAATGTAGCAAGTGCAAGTCACTTTGAAGTGAGTGTCGTTTTTTCTCTATGTGAAGCTTTTACCAGCCACCTCGATGACCTGTGTGGGAGTTTAAAACCTCACACAGAGTATGCAAGCGTTCTCCTTGTAAAGTACGGTGACAAATTGGCTGGCTGCCTGCCTCTCTGCCTTGCTATGCCTCCTTGATCATCTGATCGCTGTTCAGTGCTTTCTAGTGCTCTCCAGACTCGGTGCTTTTCACTTGATCGCCATCATCTCTTTTTTCCCTACCTGATCGAAACATGACCAGAGCAGTGTTGTTGAGCAGTACACTGCCACCGGCCACTGTCAGACAGACTGTCTGTCTGTTGATGACAAATGCGATTGTCTGTCGGACTGTCTTTTCCTTTCTCCTATCGACATCCATCTCCCGATTGGCAGCATTTCCTGTGCGTGTGTGTCTGTGTCGGTCTTATCAGCATATGTTATCTCAATCACTCACACTCTTTCACTCAAACACACACACACATATCTGCAATTGCAGCTGTGATGGCTGCCAGATTGCTGCTGATTAATTTGCACCCAGGTATTAATGATGTTTTTCTCTTCTCTTTCTTTCTAGCACACCGCCAAAACGTCCAAGCACCTGTGGAAGTGTGCAATCGAGCACCATGCCTTCTTTCGCCTCAAGTCGCAGCCCATCCTCGAGCGAGGCACCAAAAACCGCCAGAGCTTTGTTCGCATGGGCTCCCGCTTCCGCTACTCCGGTCGGACGCAATTCCAGGCCATCATCCAACAGCAGAAGACGGCGGTGCAGGAGAGCAAGCGGAACTTTGAGCGGCGACCGTCGCAGCGTTTCAGCCGTCGCTCGGTGCGCTCCATTGCGCCCGGCTCCAGACCGGCGGTGGTGGCCAGCTCTACAGCAACAGGATCAGGAACTGCTCCTAAACAAACTTCAGTCACACCGCCGCTGCCGATCTCCTCCACCTCCTCAACACCGAAACAGGTGGCAGTGGTAAAGAAGCCAGCCAGTTATGCATCTGCCGACAGTGATGTGGAGCGATCAAACAGCAATAGCAGCAAGGGCTCCAGCAGTGCTGGTGCTGGGCAAACGAGTTCTCGAGGCCCGGTGGCCACCTCCTCCTCTTCAAGGACAGCTGCAGCCGAACTAGTCAAGGCCGCAGCAGCAACGACGACAAACAAGCCGAGCAGTGTCAGTGAGGCAGCAGCAGCTGCTGCTAAACCGGTGAAACCCTTCAACAGCACTCTCCAGCACTCGCCGCCGACGACCAGCGTCACGGCGACGAAGCTGTCCAACAGTGGAAAAGCTGTTTCATCAGAGACTGCAACCTCGCCCTCTGCCTCTTCCTCTTCCGCTGNCAACAGCACTCTCCAGCACTCGCCGCCGACGACCAGCGTCACGGCGACGAAGCTGTCCAACAGTGGAAAAGCTGTTTCATCAGAGACTGCAACCTCGCCCTCTGCCTCTTCCTCTTCCGCTGAAAAGCGACTGGACAGTTTGCTGAAGTCGCTCTCGAAGGATGCCTCAGTGCCGTCCCGAAACACTGCTCTCGAGGCGATAGTCAAGCCGCCCTTTTCCTCCAAACCCGGTCCCTCTGATTCTTCTGTGATTCTTTTGGAAAGTAGCCATGGCAAAGTGGTTTCTAGTGGTAATGGCAGTGGTGGTGAAGCAAGCAAACCCACGTCTAAAAAGGTGATCAACGGCTACGTCAACGGCTCCTCGTCCTCGTCGGGAAAATCGTCATCTTCGGCCACCTCAGCCGTTCCCGCCACCACCACGAACATCAAAGTGGTGAACAACAACCTCGGTGGTGCGGGTGCCACCAAGTCCAAAGAGGACACTCCTGTGATCGTCAATGACCTCAACTTGAACGGCCGAGTCAAAGGAGTAGGAGTAGGAGTGGTGCCGATGAGTGCCGCTGATAAGAAGTGCAACATTCTCAAAGCAAAGGAGCTCGAACAGCGCAGAGCCAATGGAGGCAGCTGTAAGGCCGATGACGGCGATGAGAACCATTGCGCTACCTGCAATGGCCACGATGCAAAATCAGCAGCCTCATCCACTTCAGAGAAGAAGAGCAACATTATCAGCACCTACAGTAATGGCTACAGTTCTAAGCAGCCGAGCTCAGTGATGAGCACCTTTGGAGGACGTCGTCCGGAGCAGCAGCAGGCGGCTAATGCCATGGAGAACGGTCACCACTTTGGCCACCATCACCAGCACAGTCACAACAACAATAACAATAACAACAGCAACAACAATAACATGATCAACCTTCGTCCACGCCACCCTCACCAGGAGTCACACCATCATCCGCAGCAGCACCTGTCTGAGGTTCTGGAGGAGGACGACGACGACGGACGGCCGTTGATTGTTCGTGGCAGCAGCGGCTCTCCCGACTCCTCCAACATTACCATCATTCCGGTGCACAGTGGGGCGCAGAACGTCTCTGCGGCCATGAAACCAAACGCTACTTCAGTTCCGCAGCCAGTCAGCCCGCCGCACTACCACCCGACCAATCCATTTGCAACTGATATTACGAACTCCACAGCAGCAAAACAGCAGGCCAGCACTGCTGCTGCTGCTGCAACTCACCGCAAGTTTTCGCCACCCTCAGCTTCTCACCTGAATGGCAACAAGGAGAATGAGTTTTCCACCACCACCAACCCCTGTGATCCGAAGCCCAGTAATGGCATACTGAAGAATGGCACCAGCAGCAGCAGTCATCATAGCCACCACCCTAGCCACCCTCCTCCGCTTCCTCCCTCCTCTTCTCACCACAGTCTTCCCCGTAAGCCGCCCAGCTGTCCACCACCTCCACCGCCCAGCACCGCCCACCCGCCCACATCGTCAGCACTGCTAACCACCGCAGCTGTCAACCAGCAGCACCGTCAACAGCAGACGCCCAGTCCTGACGTGGCCTCCACCGCCTCCAGCTCCACCACCTTCTCCTCGTCGACGCCACTTCGAAACAGCAACAGCTTCAGCTCCAGCGTCAGTAGCAGCAGTCCGGCGAGCACCATTCGCGGCTACAAGAGCGGCGGCGCCCACTACAGCAGCCAGAATGGCAGCATGAATAGCAGCGGCAGCAGCAGTGCTGGCACCAGCAGCAGCAGCAGTGCCCACAGCAGCAGCAACAGCAGCAGTCGAAGCAACCTCCAGCCACCCTGCTCCTCACCTTCTTCTTCTGACGGAGGTGACTCTTCCTGTCGGGAGTCCCTGTCGCCCTCTCCGGTGCACCACATTGTGGAGACGTCCTTTGCGGGCACCAATCCAGTCACCCGATCGGTGTCCAATGTGCAGAGGACCAACAACGGCGGCAGTGGAATTGTCAGTGGCATTCCCACGCTGACCAACTCCTCCAATGGGAGTTCATCATCTTCTTTTGCGGTTGCCGCCGCTGCCGCTGCCGTGTCCGCCTCAGCCGTCGTCTGTGATGCCTCGATGAAGCGCAGTACCTCACTGAGCACTGCTCGCCGAACGGTGATGACCACGGAGCTCTAAAGATGAGATGATGATGACGATGACGACGTTCCGTTTGAGCATCATCAACGCCATGCTTTGCAATCATAGCATCGTTTTGAATCACTCAATCACCAACATCAGTGCAGAATTGCTAAAACTTGAGCACTTTCAGTTTTGAGCCGACCACAGCACACTATTTCAGCCACTAGTTTACGGCCAAAGTTGTTTTCTCACCTTTCTATTTCTCTCTCTCTCTCTCTCTCTCTCTTTAACTCTTTCGGCTTACACTACTTTTACTTAATCTTCAGTGTTTATGACAATTGCTTTTCTACGACAAACTACATGCACCAACCATATTTATTGCCTTTTGTAATTTTGTGTCAGTTCTTTATTCATAATTTATACTGTTTTTACCATTATTGACATGCAATGTTTTAAACCACAATTACTTGATGTTATTGAAAATTAAAAAGAAGCTTTTATTTCAGTTATGTTTGTGTAAAGGAGGACAGCTAAATTGACAAAAAAAATTTAATCGAGAATTGAGTACATTTTTGAATTCTACTCGTCAAACCATTTTCGACAATACCTTTTAGTTTAATACTCACAAAAATGTAGCTGAAATGTTTTTTCTGGCATCCAGTCAATCAACTTCTGTTTCACGACAGAATGTTCAAAAACTTTGCCAAACATTGTGATCAGCTCTAGTTTTGGGAACTGGTGGTTGATCACTCGAACAAATTGAGGAACATTTATTATGTTGTATTTATCATTTTTTGTGATCTGAGTATCATTTCGAAAATTTTCAAGAATAGGTTTTTCGCTGGCAATTGTCAATGAGGTTACTTCCGGCAACTCATCGATCATTTTCGTTGTATCAGACAAGTCAAAGTTAACCAGTGTCAGCCGTTTCAGTGATTTCATTGGCTTTAACAACTGAAAATATTCAGAATCGAATTCCTAAATAAAAAAAATCATTAGAATGTTTTATTTTCAATTTTATAACACGTTGAAAAACTGCTATACAGTTCAATAAAGTTTACCAACCATGTTGCGACTCAAATAATTAGGAAGGTCACCGTACAACTTCAAAAAAACAACAGATTTACAGTGTTTGAGAAGTTTTTCCAGTTTAATATTACTAGAGGTGACAACCAGTGAAGTAATGCCATTAAAAATAGTGCTTTTAGAAATCAATATTTTTTCAAGTTCTTTTAAATTTGCTGGTTCAAGCTGACGTCTGATTTTGAGAGATTTTAACTTTTCTGTTGCTTTTTCTAGCAACTCATTAAGATTGTACTTTTGATAGTGCAGTCCCAAATGCTCTAGTTGTGGCACTAGCTGTTGCAGTGGATTACTTATCCCTTTAAAGACCTTAAAGCAAAATGGTAAGCTTACATCAAGCTTTTTCAAAGCGCTTCCACTTCGTTTAGCAATACTTTTCATTAGGTTCTGGCAAAGAATAGGCAAAATGTCGTCGGGTTCAAACTTTTTCTCGTATAAAATATGATATGTAGACGAACCGATGCTAAATTCAGTTATATTCAGGTATAGGCTTTCAATTTTAGTAAACAGCGTTTCCAGCCTAATGATTGCTAGAAACCCAAAAACAATGTTTCGATTAGTCAATGAAAAAATATGAAAACGCAAAAACTTACATACGTATGCAGATATACACTCCTTAAATAAAGCCTTTCTCACATAAAATGTATAAGGGTCAGTGTAAACCAAAGACAGTGTTGTCTGATTCATCGTCCAAGGCTCTCCGGTGCAACTAACACCTACAAGAACGGTTCTTTTGAGGAAACTAATAAAAGCTGGCAGTTTTTGAGTAGTCACACAAATCAAAGGTCCCTTCAGCTCAAAAGCGTAATCGCTGTTGTTTAGTGATGACAAACGGTTGAAATCGGCAGCAATGTCATTGACATGCATAAACTCGCGAGATTTTAAAACTGGTAAATCTGAATCGCCTGTATTCCATGATTCGGTTGAGTAGTCTATTTGACTATCAGAATCAGCGTTCAAAGGCTTGCTGAACACGATTTGAATAGTCAATGCTTTAGAGTTGCGTAAAACCCGATCCACGGAGTCTTTCCATTGCCGGTTCACCATTCTCAGCATTAGAAATTGCTTAGTAATGCCATCTTCTTCAGCCATCACTTTT